TTGAGGTGTGATATGTCATTTTAAGCTATATTTGCATCCACATGCATTAAGGCCCACATGCAAGGACTGACCACACCATACCTCAAGTAACCCTGTTTAGCACAATCTAGACCTACCTTGTTTCTACCAAGAAAAAAATGCCGCCGTCTCCTTCCCCGTGATTTGCCTGAGCCATTTAATGATCTTGAAAAATGGAAATTTTCTTTCCTGCTCTCTCACAAAGGAAGAGATTTCCATTTATTTTTAATTGTTGGTAATTGACGCAGTGCATCAGTGATGCATTGAAAGGGGTTAAAAAGAAAAGCTCCTGTGTTAGCAACAATTAAAACAAAATGGAAAACTTCCTCTTCCTTCCCCTCTGCAGGAGAGCAGGAAAGAAGCTTTTCATTTCTCAAGATCATTAACCCATTAAAACAGGTGGAGAACTTTGGGTTAAGAAAGGGCCATCCCATTTGGTCCAGTCGCAGCGATCACATAAACTGGAACTGGACCAAAATGGAGCAGACATTGTTCAATGTTCCAGTGCAGGCTGGATCATGATAGCATGTACAGTATGCTGTGTGGTTGCTAGGAGAAGGAGTGAAACAGCCTGTCTCAAACCCAGACCAAACTGTAGAACAAATGCTCATCTAATCAAAACCTAAATTAAAAAGGGTCGATCTGCTTTCACATACAGTATATCTCATGTGGTGCTATTAATGCCCACGTCCTCTGTGCATGAACCTGAACTATAAATGTCCCTATAGACTAAACAACAGAAAATTAATAGCTCTGACAAATATTCAGTACTGCAGGGTCTGGAATATGGTACAACTGTTTGCTGGAATATAAAGCTGATTGACTAAACAGGGAAGCTGCCAAAAAGTCAGAGCAAAAATATTTATCAGTCTGATTTTCACATTTTCTTGTGCAGCCAGGATATGAATAGACTGTATTTATTTTGGGAATAGTTCTACAAGTACAGTATTTGTCTTGCCTGGCAAAGATGTTAGGGACCTGCTAGTCTTTTTGGTGATCCAGAGATAGAAGAGACACCAAATGGCAATCATTAAAGTAAATTATATGTTGGTTTTCTAGTTCTTAAGGATGAATAGGCCATGATGCACTAATACTGTAAATGTTATAAAGAGTGCTCCTATTAAGAACTTCAGAGGCTGAACTCTATGTTACAGATGGACCATCTTTAGAAGAAGGAAATCTTTAAGTACTGAAAAAAAAGACTGTCACGGCAGGAACTCTTCCAACTCCTAATTGTTTACAAATTAGCTTGCTTTATTTTGTGATTGGTCATCAGGAAGTTTGCAAGTATGATGGCTCAAGAACAAAGGCTTGCGTAAATGACGTTTCTGGAAAACTGACAGGTTTCAGCTTCATACCTCATGGAGATGGAAATTTTAGGTCTGGGCAAGGGGAAAAATATATATATTTTCTTTGCCACCTACCTTTCTGACCTTCTCTTGCTGTGTTATAGAGTATAAGAACTGCTGGAAAGCTCAGTACATTTAGGCATTTGGCTGTGGAGCCAGAGGTTGGGAGTTCAGTTCCCCACTGGGCCTCCTTGATGGAACAAACTTCATTATCCATAGGTTCCCTTCCAGTAATGCAGTCCTGAGATGATGGCGATGATGATGATTAATGCCCTACCAAGCCCAAATTGGAGCATTTTGTAGGTGTATAGAGAAGGAAGGCTTCTAGACCTCGGAATGTAGCCTAGGGAGAATTTTTAAAAATTTTATGGCACATATTCACTTTCCTGTAATTTTAATCAGGACGGTCCTTAATACTTATTGTACGTTTTCAGTAGTTTGAGCAAACCAATTTTTCTCTCTCAATATGTTTTCTGTGTTCTGGAGCTTGATTTGGATTGATGCCCTAACATTCACTCTCATCAGTTCTTAGGCACAGACTTAACTAACAGATGCTCACAATCATGATTTCTATTTTTTTATAATCCCTTTCCCCCTTCCTCTCTTGTTTTGTGCTAATATCATTCTATAATTTCACAGACTCTTTGTTGTTGTGGCTTTCTCAGGCTCTTTGGCCATGTTCTAAAGGTTGTCCTTCCTAACGTTTCGCCAGTCTCTGTGGCCGGCATTTTCAGAGGACAGCACTCTGTGCTCTGGTATAGTTTGCTTGGGAGTTGAATATTTATGGCTGTGAGATCAGCTTTTGTCCTTTTCAGGAGATGGGTTATTAGTGTGTCTTGTTGTGGGTGTATTATTGTGATAAGGATTATCTGTCACTGTGATTGATGGGTGTCATTAGCTGGTGTTTTGTGTGTAGTGCCCCCCGGTCCTTGTGGTTGGGTAGAGTTCGTTGACCTTTTGCACACTGTATTTTTCAGAGCTGGGAGCCACATTTTGTTGAGTTTCAAACTTTCCTCTTTTTTGTTGAAGCTCTGCTGGTGCTTGTGGATTTCAATGGCTTCCCTGTGCAGTCTGACGTAATGATTGCTAGTGTTGTCCAGTATTTCAGTATTTTGAAATAGAATTTCATGTCCAGCTTGTTTTAGGGCATGTTCAGCTACCGCAGATTTTTCTGGTTGTTTTAGTCTGCAGTGTCTCTCATGTTTTTTGATTCTGGTGTGAATGCTTCATTTTGTGGTTCCAATGGCCACAACTGCTACTCCTGTCCTCTGAAGATGCCAGCCACAGAGAGTGGCAAAACATTAGGAAGAACAACCTTCAGAACACAGACAAAGAGCCCAAAAAGCCCACAAAACCATTAGTTTTTTGGTGTGCTGAACTGTATGCAGAATTATCTAGCTTACTTGGAGTCTAATGTTGGAGGAAATCTATATGTTTTCTAGTGATGCTTAGAAAATAGATATGCAAGATGACAGATATCCACTCTTTTACATAAGTATAGGATTGTTTGGAGTTGCTGGACACTGCAGACTTAATTTCAGCAATGCTGCAGAGTTCATACTGTGAGCAGATTTCTTCTTTTTGGCTACTGGCAGATCAAAGGAGAATCCTTTGATTCCTTTGATCAAAGGAGAATCCTAGTAATGTTGGAATGTTCCATGTGGCATCTCAAGCAGCAGAATGTGAAAAGGTGGTAGTCTTCCTCTCATTTTTTCTGTATGCAATGCATTCCATTGCACTTCCTCTACTTAAAGGAAGATAGTCGGTAGGAAAAAAGAAAAGAAAGGAGTAAGAACCCAACTTTGTTTAAAATTGGGATGTGCATTGTCTTCAGACAAATGTGCCAAAATAGACAGGTTCAGGAATATTTGTATGCTTTTTGGGGTGACTGCATGGCAGAGAAAAGAACTACTGGTCATCCCAGGGTGGGGCAACACCTGAACAGACCTTTCATATTCCCTCTGGCATTCATGGGATTAAAAACCTTTAAAGTATGGCCATTGATTTGACTTGAGGAAAGGGGGACATTTGAACCTTTAAGGCACCAGGGGGGTTCTTGTTACATGTTCTCTGTGGCCACTCCACCAGGCTGTCTGTTAGAGTCAGTATGAATTTATGAATTAGTTAAGGTCTGTTCATGTAACCAACCAGTTTTCTACAACATGCTATTTTTAACTGTTCAGTACTGTGAGTAAATAGAACATTTTTGTTCTTTCTCTTACCAAATGTTTCAGAGTGCATTATTGAGACTGTTAAGTGCTAGTTGATGAGAAACTAAAGGAGTGATTTATTTTTAAGCCAATTCTGCTCTGAAGTTCCTGCACTCTGTTGCATAGCTCATGGCTTTTTGTCTAAAAATTCACTCTCTGCCAAGAGAAGGTTCACATCTGAGTGTTTCTTCCCTTCCACTAGTCTTGAAGACAACAGTTCCAGATCAATAACTTGGCATTAAGATATTTGTATTGTGATGGTCATCAGATCCTTCTACTCAGCGGCTTTGTTTTTCTTCGGAACTTGAGAACTTTGATAGAAGCGCATTGTAACTATTGTAAATTATTCTAGTTTCACCAGCCGAATTAATCCCACTTTCTGGGATTGGGGCTGCGGTCACACCAACAAACTGTTTCTGTGTTACTCCTCATGAATTTTGACCCTTGTTTTTGGGTTCAGACAATACACGACCATTATTGATTCTTTTGTTTCCCTGCATCAAATCCCCCTCTGCCGAGAGGATTCTACATTTATCGTTGTGGGATTCATTGTGCAATAATTACAGTGGTGTTCTGTGTGCACAGCTGTACTGATTCTTTTTCTGTCAAGACACTATGTGTTGCTTCTGCCAGTGATGTCGATGCATTTGAAAACTTATGTCATCGGCCTCTCTGCTTCACTTATTCGTGGATCCTTCCACCAGGTGGTGCTCCTTCCCATGAGCCCTTTCATGTTTTCCTCTTGGGAACCTCCTGGTAGAGCTGCAATGAGAACAAAGCCTGACAAGGAGTTTTTCTGCTGCAAGAGGCACAATTGCAGCAGAGAAACCTGTACCCAACAAGGAAATCTTGTTGAAACATTAATGTAATGGCATTTACTTTTTTTAAAAAGGGAAAAAAGGGGCCCCAGAAGGAAATATTCCAGTACTAAAGTGTAGCCAGTTATATCACATCAAATTTAGGGAAATGTTATGGTAATTCAAAAACACATCTAAATGCACACCTTGGGATATATGTCATGCAACTGTAATGTGTGACTGCTCAGGGAGTAAAAGATGTGAGAAAATGGAGACATTTTCCTGGTGTGACCATGGCCTACGTCTTGTTATGTTTTGCTGGGTTCTTTACTTTGCTGGATTCAGAGCTTGTGTTTGCCACACCTTTATATTACATAGATACTTTATATTACACAAATACTTACCCAGTGTGAGTCAATCAACTGACATGAATTTAGAAAGTATTTCTCAGACACTTGCAGAGACACAGTCTATTTGACAATCAACTGCAAATGTTATCTATGGACTTTGCTACTTTAGGAAAGCTGAGGTCATTTTTATTTTATGGGTTTCAGTTGGCATTTTGTGCTGTGTTATTTGTTCTTACTAAAGAGGTAGTGCCAACACAATCCATGACACAGTGTGTTGTACAGGCTGTCTCTATGAGGTCTCTGTGAAGTAAAGATCAAGATGCAGGAATACTTTTCAGACCAAGTAAGTGGCACATTCATTATCCGATGTAGCAATAAATGTGAGCAGCAGATTTATACAGACCTGAGGGTAGGTGCTTGTGAGATAACGATAGCACAGTAATTTAAAGAATATTAAAGATTCTCACATCTTGCTATTGTCAACTCTGATTTGTGGCTCTCGGGTTAACAAACTGGGATATTTTTAACCAAGAGACAGACATTTCAGCATTTTTTGGCCCACTTAAAGCTGTACAAGCAAAACAGAAAGAACAAGACTGCTAAATGCCACCTGGAGTTCTGCTGATTTGGGGATTACAAAACAAATGCAAATCAAGGAAATCCCAGACGGCCTCAGTTTTGTTATTTGTGTGGTGTTTTCAGAGTACACTCTGTGTGTGTGTGTGTGTGTGTGTGTGTGCGCGCGCGCGCGCGCGCGCGTGCGTGCGTGCGTGCGTATCTGTGTACATTGTAATTATATCTAAGGTGGTATTTGGATTAAAAATGTGAAGCTTTATTGATTTATCAAGGTTCTTCTCTCACCCTTTCAAGTAGTGTTGGTCATCAGGCCAAAGACTACCATATTAAGTTCTTGGCTCTATGTGCTTTAATTTTTCTCTTAATATTTTTCACTTACTGTTGATTATTAGCATTTTTGTCTTGGTGTGGTTTAGTTTTCTTTATATCATTTGTTCAGTCTAAAGCCGGAGGCCCCAACACTGCGTTGTGGCCCTTGGCTCCTCACTACCTCCCTGTCCCCTTTAATTTATTCTTTTTCTTTCTTTCTTTTTGTTATGAGGGAGGCGGACTGCTTCAAATCAAAGACTTAGCTGCTCATCTTTGTTGCCAAGAATATTCCTAAGCCCCCACGACATTCCTAGAAAATTAAAATAGTTAGTGGTGACAGTGCAGCCCTCTGCTTCACTCTAAAGCAGGAGTCTCCAAACTATGGCCCGCAGGCCGCATCCAGCCTGCTTTGCCTTTTTATCCGGCCTGCGCATAGAAAGAGGAGGGAAGGGGGACCCAAGTGATCCCCCCACCCTCGCTGTCTTTGCAATGACAGCAGGGGTGGGGGATTGTTTGGGTCCCCCTTATCTCCTTTGACCCTCAAAAATGTGTAAAATATATGATGTGGCCCTCACAATGAAAGGTTTGGAGACCCCTGCTCTAAAGCATAGCTAGCCACCTCTGTGTGGGGATGGTGGAGGTGGGTGATCATAGGGAGATCCTGGAAGATTTGATAGAGGAGCTGTTGGGAATTGAGGGACATGGTTTGCCTTGTGTATTTCACGTGTTTTGTGGAGGAATCTTTTTTTTCCTTATTAATTTAGCATAGTGTGTTTTGCCCGTGGAAATATTTTGGGTTGTGTGTTTGTGCACATAAATGTTTCTCTGCACAGTCTGCCTTTGGATAAATTAATGTGTTTTTTGTGGATGCAAATAAATGAGTCAGCATTTGCTGTTCATACCTCTTCCTTGCTTTGTATTCAGTTTCTTGGATAGGTTAGTAGTCCCTAAGCTTCATTAGTTCAGCTTCTATGAAATGGGTATTGGAACAGGCCAGCTAAAAGTTCAGAAGGGTATTTTTTGTTTGTTTTGAACTTAGATACTGTGTCTGCCTTGTATTTAGGTTTAGAATGCCTTTTCTTTTAACCCCATCTGTTTGGTTTATCTTTGGCCAAGGCAAGCCCTCACATTTGCCTGTAACGTATTTCTAATATTCCAGATTTGCCCAGAAAAAACAGGTACTCTTGACAATGTAGTGTTTGAAATAACACTTCAGAATACAAGTTACAAAGAATCTATATAAAATTGGTTAATTATCACAGCTAGGTGGCTGACATACTTGAATCTTTCTATAAAGCTTGGGTGAAATTTACAGAAACTACTTTTTTATTAGGTCTAATTGTACTGCAGTTTTTTTTTTACTATAATACCGTCTGTACCACTTTTGCATACTATTCTAAAATAATGGGACTCTTCAAACACCAATGTATATATGCTGTTACATATTTCATTTTCCAGAGAAACTGTTGGATTAACAATAAGAGATATTAACTTGCTTGTAAAAATGAGTCAAGTGTTTTTCATAACTATATATCCAAAGCTTCACTGCTAGGCAAGATATTTAACTTATTCAGTTTTATTACAATCAATAAGAGCTCTGTTCTGCCACCAGCAGTCTCTCCAAGCTTTGCAATTCTCTGGCTGTGGGATTTGCCACACCTGGTGAACAGCAAGACCAATTCTTCTGGGCAGTGGCATGATTCCCTGGAGAGTCCTTTCACTGCTTCTCTCAGCCCTGTTTTCTGTCTATGTGGTATTCATCACCTTAATATTATTCCAGGGATTCCATTGTGGTTGTCTTAAAACTGCAATCCAGTGTCATTTTGCAACCATTAGAGGAAATTTTAATGAGATAGCAAGACCGCCTTAAATTTGTCATGTATTTTCCAAGTTATCACAAAATTTCAAGGAAAGTGAGATGTTTAAAGGATGGCTTTACCAGTTTTTCCCCCTACAGCAAATTTCCAAGGACAAGTGGGGATCTGAACCCAGGCTGCTTAAGTCCTTGTCTGTCACTTTGTCCACTACACCATACTGGGTATCTTCAATGGGCCTACTCAGTGTAATTCACTACACTAAGCAACTGGATTTTGGTCAATGTTTAAAGAACATTTGGGTATGGGCTGTCTGCCCAGGCTACACAACAAGCTAATTAGGATTGGACTGAATCATTTTAAAAAAATACATCCCCTAGATTTGTGCCAGAAAGGTCCATGACAGCTCTTAAAGGGGCAGGATGGATCTTTAAGTAGAAACATGTGCCATCATTTGGTTCTAACCAAGCCATATCAACAGTGATCCATGTGTTGTTTTATATACCAGTGTGTACAGCCTCTTACTTTAGCACTGTAAATCACAATTGGAGTAAGCCCATTGGAATCAACAGAACGTATGGAGGAACTGACACACCAAATCCACACTGATTCAGTCAGCCTGCTCCCCCATGGATTTGCCCCGCTCCCACTAAACAACAGTATATTGGTCATTGTGTCCAATGACCTGAGGTGGGAAGACATATTACATTTCTTCAGAATGAGGCAATTTGGCCTTACAACAGACACAGTAGCCTGCCTAACCACTTTCTGTTTGCTGGGGACATGGAAGAGGGCAGGCTCACAAAGGATGACACAGTCCTTGACCCTGCTTGGACCCAAGTTGTTCAGGGCCTTATAGGTTTTTTAACAGACGGACAACACACACACTTGTGAGCATATGCACACCACGAATGTACATGAGTGTTTGACTAAGAGAGTATGATCCTAGGGTAAGCATGTGACACTTTCGAATGTGTACTACCTGCAGTAACTGGCTGCCTTGCACGGGTTGCCTGTTTGTTTCTGTACCAGCTCCAAGGTGATGGTGCTGACTTACAAAGCCCTAAATGGTTAGGGATCCTGATACCTGGCAGAACGCTTCCCTGAAATGAGATCTGCCTATTCTACACCATCTTCCCAGGCCAGGAAGTTGAGAATACTGTCCCCAAGAGAGGCCAATAAAGAGAAGACCAAATAACAGGCCTTCTTGGCAGTCATCTTTGGAACAATCTTCTCATGGTGCAGTGGTTAAACTGCTGTACTGCAGCCAAAAGTGTACTCACAACCCGGGGTTCAATCCCAGGTAGCCGGCTCAAGGTTGACTCAGCCTTCTATCCTGCCGAGGTCGGTAAAATGAGCACACAGCTCGCGGGGGGGGGCAATGTGTAGCTTGCACAATTAACTTGTAAACCGCCCAGAGAGTGTTTGCAGTGCTATGGAGCTGTATATAAGCAGCGTTCTTTGCTTTTTGCTTTTGCATGAAATTCACCTGGCCCCTTCACTGGGAAGCTTTGAATGATCACTGAAAATGTGCCTTTTCAAGTAGGCATTCCTGGAGTATTCAACATATTAACACAGTCGTTTCAGCATTTTATACGAACTGTTGTGTCATCTTGCCTTTAAACTATCCTAATTATTTTTTACTTTTTACTTAGTTGCTAGTGTATGTTTAAGGTAAAGTTAAAGGTTCCCCTTGACATTTAGTCCAGTCGTGTCTGACTCTAGGGCGCGGTGCTCAAGCCATAGAACCAACGTTTGTCCGAAGACAGGTTCCGTGGTCACGTGGCCAGGATGACTAGACACGGAATGCCGTTACCTTCCCACCGAGGTGGTACCTATTTATCTACTCGTATTTTTACATGCTTTCGAACTGCTAGGTTGGCAGGAGCTGGGATAAGCAACAGGAGCTCACTCCGTCGCGTGGTTACGATCTTACGACTGCTGGTCTTCCGACTTCGCAGCACAGAGGCTTCTGCGGTTTAACCCACAGCGCTACCACGTCCCACTGTTTATGTTTAATTGATGCTTAATTTTGATTGTTATTGTGTTTATTGCCTTCTATTAGAGTTTATGGTTTTTGTTTTTTTTTTTGTAAACTGCCCAGAGTGGCCCTGGCAGCCAGATGAGCAGTATAAAAATCAAACAAACAAATAACCACATTACATCCTATTTTCTTCCCTGATAGAGATACATAATTTCCCTTTTCATGCCTCATGATGTGTTGAAACAAGAATTCTTATGCACTCACTTTTTACTATGTATGGATATGAAAGGCATACATATTTTAGGCTAATATCTGATGTGCAGAACTAATGCAAATTGGTTGGTTAAGTTTTCATACTTTAGTTGTGTATGAATTGAAGTATGAGAACTTAAAGAGAGAATTATCTTCAGTGTGAGTAGTTGGATCCATTTTTTAAATTTGCATAGTTTTCATTCATTTGCTAAACTAAGAAGAACACCACATTTCCTCAGGAAAGCATTGTAATGTATCTGTCTGATGACTCCCATCCCTGAATCAGCAGGGTATTATAGCAATCATTAAAATAAGTAAATCATTAATAATACCATTTTAAAACTGTTCCAAACACAAGGAGGAGCTCCAGGTCCAGAACAAATGTCATTGTGCGGCTCATTATTCCAT